CAAGCCGCTCGACCCTTGCCGGACAGTTAGCGGTAAAGTCGGCGTTCACATCGCATACAGAACCCCTTGATGCAAGAGAGCTGGGGTGGTAGTTGGTGCAGTTAGTAGAGTTGAGGGAAGTTTAAGCCTACTCTATGGAAGTTGCCACCTCGCGCGAAAGCGTTTATAACTCTTTCTGGCCGGCTTTACGCCATTTCGGGATGTAAACTGAGCCGCCTGAATTGCATCATGCAATTATTAGGCTGCTGACTCAGACCTTGCAGCGTTTTGTGTATCCGTGAATTCCTCCAAATGCCTCGACACTGACGACATTCACTGTGGCTCTTTGCTACTTTACTATTCTTTGTACTCCGCAATACAAAGAGTAGCTGACTTCTGCGTTCACAGTCACAGATATGCGCGATGGTCATCGCTTTGCGACTTCGGTGCCGATTTAGGCCTGAATGAGAGGCGAATTTTCAGGCCTGTGCGATAGAAAACGTGTCTCGAGTCATAAATGTTGCCAGTTTCAGCAGCAGCACATGAATCGACTATTATGAGCCCATTGGTCATTCTGACTGGCTGTGCAATCATCGTTCAGCCAACGGGTTGCCGGATGTTTGCGGCGCCGCCGCTGCCGCCGCCGCTCTGCAAATACGTGTTGCTGACGCGTAGTTGGTTCCTACCAGCGAATTTCACCCTCCATCATTTTGCCTTGCCAACCAAGCCTAAGGTGGGTGGTAAAGTGACTGCCTGCAAAGTCGCATGGCTCACTCTAGTCCTCAGGGTCTGGGAGTCCTTCAACCATTCGTGTTGCAAGTAAAAGACTTATCCATCGTACTGGCCGGGCGTTAATGTTGGTATGTAAAGAGAAACAACACAGATAATTATTCGTGTTTCGTGTGCCGCCTACTGTCCTTGTCGGAAACTTCATCTTCAAAAGGTTTTTTTCACCGCGGGTGGCTATTCCTCGTGGTGGTCAGACGGCAGCTTGAATTATGACGCCGCTAGGGTGCCACAGCGTTTGTCTGGGTGTAGTCACATCCCTGCGTCATTTCAAGTCTTAATAGTATCAAGCAGGGCTCCCAATCCGCTTTTGCAGTACAGCCAATCCCTTTTGAACTTGTACACAAATCGAAATGCCTGGTTTCAACGGCCAATCTCACTTGATCTGGGATGATGAGGTATTTATTAGTTTTCATAGAAGCCTTTTACCCAGCCCTATCGCTGTGATACTCGCTGCTGTCTTCGATAAACTCACGAGTTTAACTTAACTGCTGATTAACTGCAAACCCGTTCAACTAAAAAAAAGGTATTAGGCGAGTTATCTACCCATCATTTAATAGTTATTCGCAGTTAGCCGGGTTCTGTGGTTTGGAAATGTTGCAAATCGGAGCGATAATGATCTGTTTTTGGTATCGGCGTTAGATACTCACACTGGCGTCGTTGCCACATTTTATGCCAGCAGTCGCTGTTTTATGGGCTATGTCTATTGCTTACGAAGTCCCATTTCAAGGGGCCTGCAGCAGCTATCCACTTTTCTTGTGTTCGGAGTTGGGCCCCCTCCTTCCCCCCCCCTCACCATCATTGAAGGCACGCACCAGGAGTTTTGCATGAATTGCAAAAAAATCCCACGTGTTCTGCTAGTGGTGTGGCCTTTTCGATGTCAATTTGCAAGTCAATTGAGCTTTTTTCCTTCCTTCCCTCGCGTGTCTCTCTAGCCAACGACTGGATGACAAGCGTTTAGACTTTGGGGTGCAGGTGATTATGCGTTTCGCAAGGCTGGAGCCCTCGGACCTTGTCAACTTGCGCATTGGGGAGACGAAGCAGCAGCAGCAGCCAGCCCTCCCACCCCAACCTGACAACTTCCCCATCCA